GCCTGTATTTTTCCTGTGCCTGGTTTGACACCCTCTGTAGTCATTACGTGCGCTATATATTCTGTTGTTTTAGCGAAGAAGTTATATTTATCTATTTGTAATTTAAGGTTATGTTTCTCAACCTTTCGAAAACTTTATTTATGCTTGTTACATGCTCTTCTATAGAAGTGCTAAATATAATATTATGATATCGTCTAGGTAAACGACGCATATCACGCTAATTAAATCTCTTAATATCGAATTCATTAATCGTTGAAAGGTTGGCGGGGCATTATTAAATCCGAAAGGCATCCTTTTGAATTCATAATGCCCAAATGGTGTGGAAAATGCCATTTTCTTTCGGTCATTTTTATTTATTAGGTTATGGTGAAATCCTTTTGCTAAGTCGAGTGTCGTGAAGAACTAAGCTCGGCCTAATTTTTGAAAGGATATTATTGCCTTTACAAATTTGTCTGCTTGATGTGGTCTACCTCCATCGGCTCTGGTGCGGTGTAATTATTATGTCTCGTTTGTCTGGTTAAACGATCGGGTTGCCTATATTGCCTGGAGAAGAGGACATGTTGTCCTAAGTTATGACGAAACGATCCTATTGTCCTGAACTATAACTGTTTTGTCTGTATTGTTCAAAAGAACGGTTTTGTTGTCCTGAATTATAATTGTTTTGTCTGTATTGTCCAGAAGAACGGTCTTGTTGTCCTGAATTATAGAAGTGTTAGTCCCTAAAATACTGCCTAAAGTCTATTGAGGTACGTGATTGTCTATTGTAGTTATTATCGCATCGTGAAAGTAAACCTGTTTCTTTGAGTGTATAATAGGCTTCCCTCAGATTATTTATATTCCTACTATGAATGATGCTACTAAATGTGGGGTGGGCCATTCAGAAATGTTTTTAAAATTAATGATACGGTGACGCTAGGAGAAAACTCTACTGGTCTTGTTTGGTCGAATTCATACTTATTATTTAATTTATATAACATAAATTTTAAAGTATTGTAGTAATTACTCACGTTGGTATATTTAATACGAATGGCCTGTGTATAAAGGCCGTGATATGTTTCCTAAATCCCGAAGTTTTTTATTAATTCCGCTTTGATTTCGTTCCGTGTTGCAGAGGGACCCAGTGTCCTGATGACTTGAAGCGCTGCTCCCTGAATTTGGTCCAGATGTGTCTCTCGAATATGAACTGCATAAGCACCGGGTTGTCATCGAACAGAAGAAAAATAATTTCGACTTCTCTCAAGAAGGATGAGAGATCGTATTTCTTTTTCATGCCATAGTAGGGTTTAATCCTTGCAGCTTCCGGGACTTGGTTGGACATTTTTCGTTTTATATTATATTTCACTTATTTGGTTTTTTATATATTTTATATATATATTATTTATATTAATTTTATTTTTATATATATTCTTTCTTTTTATTTTGTTTTTCACTAGGACATAATTGTGATTATTGTCCTTTCGCTATGTTTTTTCCACTCGGACTAAATTTTGTTTGTAGTCCTTTTGTATATCCTAGGATATATTTTCCGCACTGGACATAACTTCGGTTATTGTCCTTTCTTACGTATCTTTAGATACATTATTTTTCCAATTAAGTGGAATTTGCCGACACTTTATATTTACGTTGCCAAAAATGCATTCTGACGAAATCGGAATTATTGGTGCAAAAAACTTGTAGTTTGTCATCATTACTCGTTTCGATTTCGGAACGTTGCGGTGGCGTAACCCGCATTCGTGATCAAATGCAAAGAGAACATGCAAGAATAAATCCTAAAATAAGGAGAGAATAACATGATAGAAAAACACAACGTCGACAGCTTCGAAAATTAAATTTCGGAACTATTGCGTAAGTTTACCCGAATGCTTCATCCGCATTTTTTTTAATGCAAAACTTTCCTTCGGAAGATGGAAGTTACGATTATTGTGCTACTTCCAAAAATGCGATTGTTAAAAAGAACGTTCCAAAAATATGTTTAGCAATCGGTCCAGACTTTCCCGAAATACCGTATTGTTTGAAAGATTTAACCCCAATTAAAGAACGTCTCATATTGCCTGAATTGCTTTTTGTGACAATTCGTCCATTAGGATATCTAGGTCAGAGGTTGCCCAAAGGTGAAATTTATGTTAAAAATATTGTGACATCTCTACCAAGGTCCTTTCATGAGGCTTATGTGATACAAATTCACTTAAGAAAGCATTTGGAATACAATCATGATTACATGATCGATACCATACGCCCTGCAAAGATTATGGAAGCTTTGCAATTCTTAGTGAATGCCCCTCTGTATCGTGCACAATATACATATCAATGAGAACTGGATCTAAGAATTTAATGACCAAGAAGAAGTTCCGTTTGTTGCATCTGCAGAGGATTCCCAATTGGTTTAATCTTTCATGCGGAACAAATTTCTTATGATAATCCCTTAAATAATAATATTCCCACGGGTATTCTACCTTCAGAGCTAAATCAGGCGGTCAAGAAAATCTTTGGGACAATATTCCTGTAGAAAACTTGGACTATAACCGTTTAGTTATAGCGACAGGTGAAGGACAAAGACCAGTTGACATTGCTCAGGATAATAATTCAGATGAGTTGTCATTTGGAACAATATACGCTGGGCAGAAACGTACATACTCTGAAACATATAGCAAGATAATACGTTCTGAAATGCGCCATTTTGAAAGAAGATCGTGTACCATTCCAAAGATGTTCTATGATTAGAAAAAATTAGAACTGCTACGAATTATAGTGCAAATAGTAAATAGTACAACCAGTTGCCTTACAAAAATTTCATTTCATGTACAAAACTTGATTCAACACGATGATGGTCACAAGGTTTTGAAATGCGTTAGATACTCTCCTGCCCACTAGGAAGCTGAGAAAAAAAGAGACAAACGCTATGATTCGACAGTTTGGGCTTTCAACATTTTGGATTACTTCAAATTATTTGGGTAATCAAAAGCATAACCACAGTCGGTCTTGTACTAGGGAAATAAGAGGACAATAGTTTTGTCGTTTTGGTATACCATATCCACCAATGCCTTCAACTCAAGTACTGTTACCTCTTACAGAAACAAGTCTAAATTCAGAAAGACACAAGTAAAACTTTTTTAAAATTCAAAACGTTTTAAATGCAAATATGATTACAGAAGACATTTCTAATTTAAAAGATTTGAACATTTTCTGTCTGATAGTAGAATAAATATGTCTTTTGATAACTATTTGTTAGCCCTTAGATCAAGTTTATCAACACCCAAAATTTTTCTAAAATAAAATTACAGAATCGTTCCGGAGGATCTCTTTGTTTTCTTTTAGCTGTCATTCGATGTTCTAAATTTAATAACAAACTAAATAAAACAAGAATCTTTTAAAATTACTACTTTTACGAAAACAATAAAACTATAACTTTCCGACACCTTTTCTCTTGGTTTTTGCAACAAGAATTCCCATTTTACTACTTGCACGCAGACTTTTTAGGTGCTGCGAAATGACAATTTTTTGTAAATTTATCTATAAAGCTATGGTATCAGATTTTCACTGCTTTAAATTCTATGAGATTATGCAATAGACAAGTAATAAAGAACTTAATGTTATTTTATTCTAAAATTTTGTATATAAAACCTTTTTTTAACAAAAGAAAATAAGACATAAGTGTACGCAGACTTTTTCTGCTTATTTATTAACACTCACCTTTTACCTTACAAATTGAAGTACCCGGAAAGGCTTAGTGATTACAAAAGAAATTTATTTCGGTAAAAATGGCTAATTGTTGCACATACATATGTATGTTTAAAACTTTATAAAAAATTATATTTTGCTTATAACTTTATTTAAAAATGTTATAAAAGATTAAAAATGTTAGATTAAAGGCGTATGCTTGAAGAATTGAGCGAAGGCGGTCTGTCCGTATCCGTGAGCGAATTGAAAAAGGAGAGGTACGGGATCCTTCATTGATCCCTTTTATTCCTTTTTGTGTGGTGTACATTGTGATGTCGATGTAAGTATTTGTGTTCCTCTTGGTGCATGGTGTGGTGATGTGAAATGTGATGGTATGTGTGGTTATGTGGTGGTGTGGAAGTATTGTACGAAGAGGGGGGTCTGAGACTCATTTAGTCACAATGAAATAAACTACTAATTTCTAAAAAATATATAAACTTAATATTATAAATTATTATGCTAATGTCTACATAAATAATAAAAATAATGTTTTACCAACAGTTGGAAAGCTCACCTTTATTGCAATGCTAATACTGAAACTTGAATAAATTCTAGCCCTAAGCTAAGCGAGCAGCGGCGACAAAGTTTCCAACCAAAAATGCAGAATGGAATTCTCTGGAATTCGGCAATGGATAAACGGGTGATCGCTGTCACTGCCTACCTACAAAGGTCTTTTCCCAATTGGGTTTATATAGTATATAAGTTTATTCAGATATGACTCTGTTCAGAAGTTCCTCGAATGATTTTTGTTCCCTCTTTGCTTTTAAACATCTCATGACTTCGGATAAGGTTAAATGAAAGCATTCGATCTGTCCATTGCCAGTACTTTTGTATGTTTAATTGGTCATTGAGCTTGAAATTTATGGAAGCGAAATTAACTGATTTTTCGTTATCCATTATAACGTGATGGGGCACGACATAATATAATAGAATGTAGTGCAGAGGTTTCCTTATGTCTTCTATAGTTTGGACTTGATAATTTTACCCCAGCAAGTTTGGAGAATTTGTCTATGCAGGTGAAAACAAGTTTTTTTCTGTCGAGTAAATGTCTTTATGGATTATTTGCCCTGGGTATTCGGAAATTGTTGTTTCTTTCAAGGTAGGATTAGTGGAACGTCGGTCACATTTACCTCCTTACAAACTCTACACTGATTTATTATTGCTATAATCTTTTGCTTCATTTGGGGGAAGTAGTATTTTTTGGACAATTGCAGTTTTTTTCAATTCAATTGAAGAAGTAACTAGGTCTTTAATCGTCCGTGGTCTACTGAAATTCTTTATTATTATACAATACCCCGATGTAGTATTACTTTCTCGGACACTAGGGCAAATTTCAGTTTGTCAAATTCTTTTGCTGATACCCGTTTGGAAACACGTCCATCTTCCCCTCCTAAAAGTGAGCTAAGTGGTTTTGCCATCTTAGCAAAGTCTTTATTGAAACGCCAATAATAACTGGCTAGGTCGAGAAACGCCCGTAGTTCTTTAATGACTTTGGTTGAGGATATTTTGGCTATGGCTAGAACTTTGTTCGAATTTGTTTTAATGCCTTTGTCGCTGATGACGAAGCCTAAGAATTCTACCTGGGTTTTGAAGAATTCACATGTGCTCAATTGACATTTAATGCTGACATTCTGTAAAGTTTTAAAAAAAAGGTTCGTGTGCGACTTACTATCCTTGTGAAAGATGACGACGTCGTTGATATATATGTAACATATCTTACCAATATGTTCATGAAGTATGTCATCGAGTGCGTGTTGAAATACTGAAGGCATATTTTTTTGTCCGAACGGGATTCATAAAAACTCATATTTTCTGTTATCAACGGAAAATACTGTTTTTTCTAAAAACAAAATTGTCGCTCCCCAAAATTGCGTCAAGGGATGTTAATGTAGGAAGAAAAAAAAAACGTAACGGTAATATCAGGTCGATTAAGCAAGTTGGCTATCTTATGGTACATTATTTGGATACTATCTCTCACTGTTACTGCATCAACTTAGTTTTCGTTCGGTATGGGGTTATGTACAAACTTAGGTTGTATATAGTTTCTATTAGATCCAGTGTAGATAAGTATATTAAGTACCTGTCCACTCGCTGGCTTACATTCAAAATAATATATGAAAGCGAGGAGTTCCTTACTCCAAAAAATACAATGTTGCTTGCTTATAACTAATATTGTAATCCTAGTTCTCTATTTTTTTAACGTACTCTTCCAAAGTTTTGTCAAAGTCACCCTGAGTTTCATAGTGTTCAGAAATAGTTGCGCAAGCTTTCGAAGTTATCTGTCCTGTCTGGTCTTCCTTTCCAGCTTCTACAAGTACGTTGAAATTTCGCTGTCTTTTAATGGACTGTTGGGTTGGGAAAGGAGGTGTTTTACCTAGCTCCAACTGAGGGCTGTTCATGAATTTGACCCAAATGTCTGATACCCAAATTGTCTATTATGTTGTCCGGTCATATTAAATGTTTTTGGTTGCTGCTCAAAGTATAAATTATTATATCTAAGCACACTGATCGCATGTTGTGATTGTGTATTCCGTGGAGGTACTGGTAGCAATATATCGAAAGTTTTGCATTACTGTGGATTCTACTATTCGCATAATTAGCGCGATAGGACTGATTTTCTAGTTTTAAATATAGATGTAATGCGGTTGGTAATTCTGTATTGTTTTATACCCAGTAATCGGGCCAAATCTCCACGTAAGCCCACAAATGTGTCTATCCCTGTATGACTTTGTCATTATCAACTCCGCTTCTCTGCCCAAATTGACAGAAACAATTTTGTTTATGGTAGTGTAAGTGACAAATGTTTGCACTATTGTGGTCATTTGATACTCGAGCGTTCCCAAATGGCGATTATCAATAAAAGGAAGCGATAAACATCGGGATATTGCATCCCAGTTAAGGGATACGTTATAGGACTTGAGGGCATTATCTGCGTATCCAGTTATTCTATTACGTATAGTGTGCAATATAGCGAAATATTCTGAAGTTCTCTTATGACCTTTGTAATTCTGTAGTATTCTATCAATTCCCTTCTTCCAAAAGCTAAATTCTGTTTGATTACTTAGTCTTAAACAGCACGAATAATTATTTTCCTAGCCAACGATTCAATGCTACATACATATGTATAATCGGTATGTATAATAATAATGCGCAATCTATCTATTAAACTAAGACCTCCTAAACTCATTATATACGTGTAGACTTAGTGAGCAATTACCAAATACTGAAAGAAAATCGAATAGTCTAAGAACAAATGAAATGCACGTATATTGGATACATGTTATTAAATAAATAATATATGTACACATATATGTATATTCCTATGTGCTTATATAAGAATCTCTGTAAAACCTTAAAATTTGTAAAGTTTACATGTAAATAATATATATGATATAATTTTTTGAGTTGATAATATTAATTGTTTTTACGGTAAATATGTATCAATAAAGTTATAATGCATTTTACAACCAATTAAGTGTACATATACAACAAACCTAATGTGAAATTTTTCGTGATTTTAGTAAACTAGCAAAAAAGTTTCTCTAATTAATTTCTCTATAAATAACGGATGCGACACTTTCACAATATTGATCGCAATTAGTGGTCGTCTTCGCGTGGTTCGAACCAATTCAGAAAAGCTTTAAAAGCTATTTGCGAACGCATTCGCAGGAATCCCCTTAGAAAACAGAAAATGATGTCAAGGGAAATGGATACTCGTGTATCGACCAGATCAATGACAAGAGTTATTTGAGATGATCTCCACATGAAGACCTACCGTCTATTAACTGGTCATCTTCGAACAACACTCTCGAAACAAATTACTTTTAACAGATGTAAGCGGATTTTTCAATGGCACAAGATCAAAAGCTTTAAAAGTATTATTTTTGCAGATGAAAGAATTTCCACTTTTAAAGAAGTTTTTAAAAAGCAAATCGACAAAATCTACGCAAAACGTTATTTCAAAGGTTTTAGTAAGATGGTCAAGATCCTGCTGCTTTAATGGTTTGGTGGGGAGTCTCCTATAAAAGCGTTAGACCTCTTCACTTCCGTTAAAAACGGGTTAAAACTGGGCAAAAATGTATCAGTATAGCAATACTACTCAATGGAGAGTATTAGATCTTCCAGAAAAATTCTATTTCATCACAGAAGGAAAAAGCCACAGAACAGTGGCTTAAATGCAAAGTGTACATTTTAATCCATTTGACAACATTTTCAGGTCAGAGTTGGAAAACATGGCATCTCGAAAACCATACAGAAAATTGGAGAGTCTCAAAAAATCTTGGGTTCTAGTAAGATCGTCAATACCAATAAAAACTGTGCATCTGCTACTGATTAATGACCGAACCGGCAAAGTGCAGATTTTAATCCACTGGACTACATTTTCAGGTCAGAGTTGGAAAACATGGCTTCTCGAATACCCTACAGAAAATTGGAGAGTCTCAAAAAATCTTGAGTTCTAGTAAGATCGTCAATACCAATAAAAACTGTGCATCTGCTATTGATTAATAACAAAATCGTTCAAAGGCTGGAGTGAAAGCTGTTTTAATATATGCATTATTAAATAAAATTAATTTTAATAAAAAATGTAGTATGGTTTAATTTTTATAACAACATATAACAAAATCGGTATTGTAGTGGTCATAGACGTATCATTGCCACGCCCACAAAATACCGTCAAGCGATAATATTATATAAAACGCCATAACTAAGTCGAAAGTTTAGTCATCGACTAATACGCAAAGCGAATGGTTGCGTTTTGTGCTATTGGTGATTTTTGATATTCCTTCCTACCTTCTTTTTCGTGAGTGCGTTTTAATTTCAGGAAGTTTTATTTAAAGCACGTGTTAAAGAGTGTTTGTATTATAGTACGGCGAACTTTAAGAGATATGCCCCGAGGGGGACATAAGCTTAGTGATAGCAGTTTCGCCCTGTTATCAACAAGCCCCAAATGGAAAAGAAAAATATACCCAAGGAATTGACGTTAACGATTTTCCAAGCCTTCCTCCAACATAAAAAGACAATTCAAAATATTTAGTGCTAAGTGCAACGAATTCTCAAAAACCTGTAAACAAATATTCGTGTTTTGCTGTGCACAAAACATTAACATACATTAGCAGTGAAATAATTAGTATATCTGAACTTAGAGACAGAAAACTGTTCTTACTGGTAAAAAACAACAACATAGCTCCAAAATTCATAATAACAAAAATATTACATGGCATATGCGATGCACAATAGCAATAAAACTCCACCATAACCTTAATTACACAAAAGGAAATGAAATACCAGACGATGAAATCATTGAACATTTAAAAGAATAGGGTGAAGTATCAATTTTCAAATTCCCTAAATACATAAATCAAAAGCCAGTACCTAGTGGAGTTGTTCTTCTTAATTTTGATAAATATCATCTATCTGAAAAAATTTAAGTGACTTGGTACACAACTACGGTAAGGCCATACTATCCTAACCCCATGAGGTTCAGGAGCTTCCAACTTTTGGGATCATACAAAAAAACGGTTTACTAAAGCCCCTGTTTGCGACATGTGCGCTCTCCCCCTCACCAACCCACTACTTGCAGTCGTTCTTTTTGCATTAATTGTTCTGATAATCACAAATCTTCTGACAAAACAGTCCCAAATTTATTCAAATGAAACAAATAATAACCATCAAAACAGACAAAAAGTGCCACGCAATGATCTCCTCGTTGCACTCACACTTTATGGCTTTCGTACGAACAACACCAACAATATTCCCACCTCAAGCTAGAGTATTCCCCTCTTGAACAACAACACAATGCAATGATAGAGTAAATAATGTGTATTTTACAATGGAATATAAATAGCCTACTCAATAACTACCCTGATTTAAATATTCTTATTAATGAATTTCATCCAGAAATTATATCACTCCGAGAAACCCATATCACTTTCAATAAAAAATTGTATCCTTCTGATTAATATCACAGTTACTTCCATAATAGTACACAAAACTTAAACGTCAAAGAATTTATAATTTTCATTAAGAAATTAAATCATAAGCAAACTCCTATTGTAAGAAACATCTCTTGCCTAGCTATCGAAATAGAACTTGGATTTTAATTCACAATTGTTTATTGCTACGCCCCACCTAATCAAAATTTTGCTTATAGAGAATTTGACAATATTCTAAATCATTTCACTGCACCAATCATTATAATAAGAGACTTGCATAGAGTATCCTGTGTGGATCATCGACAGTAAATATAAAAGAGGCGAAATCATCGAAGATATAGTCTTTTCAAATGATCTTACTGTACTAAATGATGGTAAAGCAACCTACTTTGTCATTGTCCTTGCCTTATCCACAATAGCACCCAAACTCTCATCTCATACTATCGATCACTTTCCTATAATCACGTCCTTGTCCATCCCCAAATCGTACAACGTTAAGCCAGGGTCCAAATTTCTAACCGAAAAGGCAGACTGGGAAAAATTCAGTAATATTTCCGCAAGTTTATCCAATACTAGGCGCTCTAGAGAAAACGTAAATGCTGAAGCATCTGCTATTAAGATTATTATTCGTTCTGCAGCTCATGTAACCATTCCCCAAAATAACACTAAAAGGTTTTCAGCAAAACAACCGTATTGGTCTAATCTACTAACTATTCTCAGAAACAGGAAAAAGTCTTTGTGGGCAACATTCAAACACAACAGCACTGAAGCTAATTTAATTGAATATAAAAAGGGTAATGCTAATTTTAGAAAGGAGTTAGGGTGGGCCAAAAGTCAATCATTGGAAACACTTACAGCCAATATAAACCCAACCAGTTAACCGAAACAAATATGGTCCGATATAAAGATGATAACAGGATCCATACATAGGTTCAGAATACCCCATATAAACAGGTGCAGTCAAAATATCCTCCACATATTAAGAAACATCTCATACTCTCTTAAAGAAAGACTTCTCAACGTCTATACAAGTAATAAGATACTTAGTACTGAGAAAATAATGTCTTCCAGACTAATGTGGTATGCGAAACTAAATGGACTCATAAGCCCGTACCAACTCGGTTTTCAAAAGGGTTATGAGTAATCGACCCCCTGATATAATTTGAACATTTCGCTTCCACTAACTTGGTATCCCGTAATCATACTTCAGCTTGGTTCTAGAACAGGCCTTTGATAGGGTTGGAGCTCATATGGTACGCAGTGAATTTAAGCGCTGAAAAATTGGAACCAAAATGTTTAACATTGTAAAACCCTTCTTGTATAATCGAAAATCCATTGTATATGCCAACAACTGCCTATCTTAGGTTTTCAAATTGGACAATGGTATACCTCTGGGTTCACCACTCTTCACAACTCTCGTCATCATAGCCTTAAGCAAAGTCAGCTCCATAATTACCTCTAACCCACTAATTCAACACTTTATCTACGCAGACGACGTCGTGATCTTTACAAATTAAAAACTTAAACAAGTTAATCATACATTTTTGAAAATTTTAAATGATGTTAACAAATGGTCCGAATTTTCCGGTGTTAAGATTCTATTAAACCAAAGCTCCTCATTTCATATTTGTAGAAAACACAATTGCTCCTTCCCCACCTTTTCCTTTTTAAATACCCAAATTCACCATACTCATAGTTTAAAAATACTAGGTATTATATTTGACAAAACTCTTTCTTATAAAGACCATTGTGAATATATTCGATTAAACTTATTTCTAAGACCAAATACTACAAGTATTAAGTATTTATCATCAAAAAATTGTTTGTGTCACCCAAACATTCTTATTAATGTCACAAGAGCCTTAGTGTTATCAAAAATTGACTATGAACTTGCAATATACGGACTCTGTGCCAAAACCCATACCAAACTTTTAAACGCGCCATACTTTTAAACGTGCCTTCACATAACACACTTTTATTCGTCCCGAAGTTGCTCCTATGTAGAAACGAGCTAACACTTAATAACGTAAATAGTACCCTCCAATGTTCCCACAGACACAACAAACTTTCAACCATTATGCGTTGTCGCACTATTTCCAAAAAACTAGGAATAAGTACGAGCCTTACATTGGTTAAACCCCCACTAACTCCGCCTTCCATGACATTATCGTCATGTTGTATTAACGATACACAACAACATCGCAAGCAATCTACGAGGAACACCGAATATGTCCAGATATACAAAGAAACTATGTAACCATATACAGATGATTGGAAGTTTATCTTTACAGACGGATCTTAAAGTGATACCTCCACCCCATTTGCTCTGACAAACAAGATCGATGTCACCATAGCTGCCTTTGTTTTGCCATTATACTGCTCTGCTCTGTCCCTGATCATAAAAATAAAAAACGTTTTATATAAATACAACAACAAAATCAAAATTGTGTGGATACCAGGGCATGCAGGAATCCAAGGCAACGAAATGGCCGACAAGCGAGAAAAAGAAGCAAACAAAGAACCTCTGTATACGTCTCTATACTTTACCAAAAAAGATATTAAGAACTATGTTAAACAATACATCACCGACTGTTGTCTAAACGATTGGGGACACAGCAATCATCACTATAAACTCTCAAACCTATCTGGCCAAAAACCACAGTATTTTACTATCATCGCCTGTAAGAATCGGACAAATGACAATAACATTAACCTTTTTGTTAAATACTTTCAAAACTCCAAATTAAATATCTAATATACAAATAATTATAGTACGAACTAGACTTAAATTTGCCTTAGACTTAACTAATATAATTGGAATATTTTAATCTGTAAATTTAAATTAAGCTGAAGGCACTAGCAGCCAGTGCTTTATATTGGGTTGGCAACTAAGTAATTGCGGATTTCACTCATAGATGGCTTCAGTTGAATTTTTAGGTTTGCTAAAAATATGTGTAATAATTATTTCTCTTTTAAATAAATAAGTCGAATGTTAGGTAGGTAG